TAGGCTAGAAATAGTCGGTGAGGGTGTAGAGGGGGAAGAGACGCGCTAAGTACGTGTGTAAGTAGTCGAGAAGTCGAATTGCGGGATCGGTTTGGCCGTGATTATCTTTAATACAGTAATCCGCAGTTCCCGTCTCGAATTTATGAAAAAACATATGAATTTACAATGAATGGTTTTCCTGAGATTGCAAAATAGGAAATAGGATATATGTATGCTTGAGGTAAAAATATTGAATTGTTTTGTAACAACGGTTTTTGTTACAATAAATATTGTCAAAATGGATTCAAATAAACATTCTCTTTATCTCATTCATGGACTGACCACGTACAATCGATCAGTAAGAAACTATATACTCCAAAAAAAAATATTAAATTATAAAATTATTATTTATTGTTACACCTTACCACAAAAATTGATAGTATATTTAACCAGTTAAGATTTTTTAGAAGAAAATATGTTTTGTAACGGTAACTATACATGTACTTATGGCAACAATTTAGTTTTTTGTGATTACTAAACAGAAGCGAAGTAATAGTTTAAATAATCATGCTTTACACATATAATTCTCATAACAAAATTTGTGTATATATGTATATTAAAATTACTAAACGATGTAGTAGTTGCAACAATCTGTATATTAGTAGCAATCTTACAAAATTATTTAATTTGGCGCTTACGTGTATATTTACATTACCATTACAAAATCTGAGCATGCAAAGTTTTGTAGTATCTGGCAATACATTTATGATTACTAAAAGCTGTACTTAATTTTTTCTTCCTTGGACCATTTTATATCAAAAAATTTTAGTGATATGGGGTATTGAAATTAGACTGAATTGAAAACCAATATCACGCGTTTTGTAATGGTGCATATCCTGCAATATTGTATGAAATTAAACTTATGGCAACAATTGAGATTGTTATAATTACTAAACTCATTATAGAAGTAAAAACTGCATTCATAATACATATATGGTTGGTGCTTTCATAAAATAACTTGTATATTGTGTTATTGTGACAACAATTTAGTTTGTTGTAACTACTAAACTCAGTATAGAAGTAAAAACTGCAATAATTATATATTATTTGTGTTTTTATAAAATATGTGTGTATTCGAAGATTTCTAATGGTACCTATGTGTTATTGTAGCAACAATTTATATTGTTCTGATTACTAAACGCTATAATAGTTGCAACAAACTTTTTTTAGTAATAGTAATGTTACATGTATTTTGGATTTTACCACTGCAAAACCTGTGTGTAAATGGTATATATGTATAATTATAGTAACAATCCAGTTTGTTTGTATTAGTAAACCCAGTATACTCATACTGGCAACAATCGGTAGTTATTTACATAGCCTATTCTAGTTTATTATGTTTACAAAACGAAGTAACAATTACAATATGTGAATAAACTTATATAAACGAGGTTTTGTAATGGCTATAGCCTAGATTATCACGATTAATAAATGCAGTAACAACCATATAAATCTAAATGAGTTTTGAGGATTCACATATTTCTAATAATTACAAATATGTATTACTACTATTAAAATTTTGCTATGCGTATTTATAGTAACAGTATAGTTTATTACAATTACTAAACCCAGTGAACTAACTACATGACAGTACAACCATTCTGAAGCTATCAATTCTACATATACATGCAAACAAAGTCTTGTAATGTTAACGTGTAACTATGACAACAATCCAATTTGTTACGATTACTAAACTCAGTAACACCAGCCACATAACTGAAACCCTTACTTCTATATCTTATACAAGGCTATTTAAACTTTTCCTAGTTGTTTCCGGGAGAAATATTTCGACAACGTCAGCGTTATGTTTTCTGAGCCTATCGCCCAAATCCGATCCAATCTCTCGCTGATCACCAATCTACAAATCCGCTGATACTTTATCAGACCACTCGACCAGTAGCGAGCTACCAATGTGTTTGCGTTCATTACGCTATCTGGAAAGATATGACCTTGAATTTTCCCTTATCTTATCGCTGCCCGCGTACCACTGTATACACACAATGCCAAGACAAATATTTTGTGACAATATCGTACTTCCTATTTGTACGTAATTTCATTATATACCTAGGTTACTGCTATCCCGTACGTTCTGGCGGCCTCTTGAGAACGGAAAGTTCGTTCTTTGTTTCATCAGACGGTCTGATATTGCTGTCTGGTTTATGCCCAATACACATATTAGCAAACAACAATGTTCTTTTATGAGAATAGTTTACATTTTACGTGGTTTGAATATGTTTTACTTATTGTTTGTACTGTAATATTTAAAAAATTTAAACAGATTCTAGGAGGACTATCGAATTTACAATTTAAAACTTTTAAATGGGTCTGTTGGTTAATAATAATAGAAGTAGGTAGTAACCTTAATAAATATAATCACATGCGAATATGACTGTCAATAATACATCCTACAATAATTTACAAAATTAAACTTATGGCAATAATTTAGGTTGTTATAATTACTAAATTCAGTATAGAAGTGAAAGTTGGAATAATTATGTTATTATTTCATAAAATAACTTGTATATTCGAAGATTTCTAATGGCATCTATGTATTATTGTGGCAACAATTTAGTTTGTTGTAACTACTAAACTCAGTATAGAAGTAAAAACTGTAATAATTATAATATTTTTGGTGCTTTCATAAAATAACTTGTATATTCGATGATTTCTAATGGCATCTGTGTGTTGTTGTGGCAACAACTTATTTTGTTGTTACTACTCAGTGTAGAAGTAAAAACTGGAATAATTACGTATATTATTGCTGGTTTTATAAAACAACTTGTGTAATGGAAGATTTCTAATAGTACATATGTGTTATTGTGGCAACAATTCATATTGTTATGATTACTAAACGCTATAATAGTTGCAACGAACTATTTTAGTAACAGTAACTTAAAACCTGTGTATAAAGTTTTGTGGTATTATAGATTATAAGAGAATTGCACTGTTTAATCACAGTTTTATTCTATATAAAACCACAAAGCAAACCACAACTCCACCACAAAGCAAACTAAACATTTAAATCAATATCAATATTAATTCCTATAAGTATATAGTTTAAAATAAGACAAACCTTAATAAAGCTAACCACGTGACCTTTCTCCAACTAAGATCTTTTAAGAAAAAAATGCGGAGGCACCAATTTTGTAACAGTAATTATACAAATAATTATGGCAACAATTTAGTTTGTTATAATTACTAAATACAGTAAAGAAGTAATAGTTTGAAGATTTATACATCATTGGTGTTTCTATGAAATAAATAGTGTACTCTAAGATTTCTAATGACAACAATTCATATTGTTATGATTACTAAACGCTATAATAATTGGAACTATATGTGTAGTAATAGCAATTATTTCAGAATTATATATTTTGGTGTAGACACCGCTACAAAAACCTGTATATACAAAGTTTTGTAGTTTTATTACCACGTGTATTATAATATTTATACGATTTAAACATGTTCTAATAGGCGTATACCGTTTATTCCATATTTTACACCGTTCCATCACAGTTACTGTTTAAAACATTTATATCAATCTGTTAATTAATACTTATATAAGTAATTTAACTTGAAACACGCCTTAATAAGTCCAACCACGTGCGAACGTGACCTTCACTCGTCCTTCGAACGTAAATAAACACCGACACACGCTGCCCGATATCGAAAATTTTCCTATTTCAACTGCAACTCTGCAACTAACAACAAAAAGAACCCTCCGAATAGCACACCGGATTTCATCAGAGAGAACATCGCAACCCCACGGTCCCCTGGTAGTATTTTTTACTTTGCACCCCTTCGCGCAACGACTGAGACCGACTCACATACCAGAACGGGGGACAGAGAGGCCAGACGCACCGAATATCATACGAATACTCTAACAGAACCACGCTGTGCATCAGAAATTGCCATCGAGAGAGACGGTAGCGGAAGGCCGTGAGCGGGAGCGAGACGGAGCGGTTACCAATAACTGTTCGAAAACAGAGGACAGCCGCAGGGCACGCCGCGACCAGGACGAGGACGGAGCTAAAACAACACGGCCGACAGAGACGGGCGTATAATTTAAGCGAGACGCGCTCGGCTATTACAAATGATTTAAAAAAAGAAGATAGGACTCGCCGCATAGCCGAAGAGAGAGCCGCGAGGAGTCGCAGGGCGTGCGAGAGAGACGACGCTACGCCGGGAATAATGTTGGCACGACATGATATATAGTAAATAAAAGAGCCCAAGCCGCAATTGTTTATTTGAAGAGCTTGCGCCGAGCTCTTGATTTATCATTGCCGCGAATTATGATAATGTCGGGCTTCTTGAGGCCATGGAGGTGCACCGCGCGTGAACTGTGGGCTATGATAAAAACACAGAGTCGTCTAGCAGGGTCCGGTTCGTGTTTTGTAACGAGCCGGGCGACGGTGCCGTTGAATTCGTGGATTTTTTTAATCTACTGCTATGTTTGCTTAAAAAATCGGCCCTCTTCATCCGCCTGGCATAAAATAAATCACTGTCAATCAAATATTATCTGTCTCGACAGCTCACAAAGACTCCGTTACCGGCATTATCTACTTTATCTAACTTATCAACGGCATTCCCATAATAGAACCTCTTTCCGACCTCTAGCACTTCCTCTGATGTGTGTAAATCGCCAATAAATGTGCTTCCTCAAGGTGACACTCTCTCAAAAGGCCTATTGTTTAATCCGTCATGGTTTTTTTTATTACAGCCAGTCTCTACCTCATTATAAATTTACCTGTGTGTATGTGAAAAATAAGCTTAACCTACTTAAACAGTGCTATCTACAACGATATTCCGATAAAACATGCACAAAGCGAACATAAACAAAGTATTATGCAAGCCAAACAACGTAGAAAGCTTAATTACAGTGCACACTAGTGGCAGGGACCGCTAGCCAAGCAAAGCAGAAGCGTCGTCGAACAGTACATTGACATAAAAAATCACGTTACCTTTAACTTGCGCATTCAACTGTCACGGGCAGTCATTCCACGTTAAAAATCTACTGGGTGAAAGGCAACGCCGCTGCGAGCACGCGCCGGCAACGCCGCATCGCCTACATAGAGAGATATAAATTGTATGTTAAAATATTCTGGGATTCATCGGCCGATTTCGACGGGTTCTGGGCGTCGGAATTTCGCGAAATTCACACCGTAGGTACCTGGGACACTGTCGAACACTGTACCACTTCCGGAATCCGGGAAAATGCCTGTTCTGAGGTGGAAATCGCGTTCGAGGCGGCAGCGTGTTCGCGACGCAAGAAATTTAGGTGTACTAGAGAAGCTTGTTTTAGTCGGATATTCTTCGACCCGCCTGGCGCTGGCCCCGCCCCTAGCCAATACGGCGCTGGTAGAACTATCGACGTCACGCGGCGGCGACCGAGCGCGGCCGAACGGCGGCGGAATCGGGCAAGGGACCGCTGCATTCCATTTTGTTATGTGGTGTATGTGTGTATTTTGTATACTGGATTTATTTTTGGAAAATGTCACGTCCTTTGTTGCGGGTCGGAGGCATCGGAGGTGGCGTGGTAGACTGTTGATTGTCGATGGTTTATGAGGGAGCGGGGTGGGAGGAGGGGTGGCGTTGCGGGCGAATTTGAATCGTTGAGGTTTATGGCGGTTATAAAGTTTTAAGTGCGGTAGAGGCATTGCGGTTTCGAGTGCTGGGTTTTATTGTGCGAAGATGTCCATTTTGGGACGGCACGCGACTGTTTTTGGCCATGTTGTACCATGGGTCATGGACGTCAAGAAGCTGGAAAGCCTCAACACTTTAGCTTGCTTGTTTAGAAGCAATAAATGCGTCTTAAGCGCCATGGCCATGTTTAAATGCTAGCTTAGAAACGTTGAGAAAGTTTATGAGGATCTGAGACAATGCCATTAGTTCTATCAAGAAGTCGTAAGTCCTTCTCACCACAAGTTATATTGTTACTCTTAGGCTTCGAAGATAAAAAAAAATAGTTTACACTAATTACACATTATCAACGCATCCTCTAGCACAGAAATGACGATGTGATACATAAGTTTCATGTTTATTTATTTATTTATTCATTTAAAAAATACACATCCAACAGACAACGCTCAGTAATAAAAAAAAAACTATATACAAACTTACGAATAAAATAAGTAAATAAAAAGAACAAAACAAAAAAGTAAACAAACAGTATGAAGCATAACAAAAAACATCGATTATTCTCTACCTCGACGTACTTGAAGACAACCTGATACAAGAGTGATGCTACCCTTTTATTGGACTGCGTGCTGTGAGAAAAAACGTTATTGCTTCTAGCTGGGAGTCGAAGTATTTTGATTTGAATGCCATTTAAAAAACTGGACAATCCAAAATATTATGGAGAAACTTATATAAAAACACGACTCGAGAAACAGATTGTTTTTTAGAAAAGAAAAATATTGAAACGCTGTTCATCCAGTTAATATTCGGCTGATTTCATAAACTTTTACAATCCGCAATAGGCCTTTTCTAAAACGAATATACATGGTGTTTCAGAAAACATGGGCTAACGCTCGGGGGCAGATTCCTAACCTAAAAATAAGATTATTATCAATATGGATCCGATTTCGCTTCCTTCCTTAGATACAGGGTGTCAAAGTTTTAAATTAAAATATATTTTTTTCCAAAAAATCTAGATTTCCACTTGAAGGAATTGAATGAAATTTGGACAACTAACTATTTATAACTGAATACATGAATACACATTTCTAGGTATTATTATGTTGAACAGAGCTGGACTTACTTGTAAGACCGTGGATTTAATCACGGAAAAATTGGTTATCCGTTGAGATTTCTAATTTATAACTACATGGGTTAAATTTTAGCTCAATTTTGATCAAAAATTGACTCGTATTTTAAATGTAATGTAATTAATTAAAGTAAACAATTATTTATTTATTTAGAACTAATTATGAATTGTAAACGTACCTACAATAAACAAATGGATAAACATAATATAACACTTTACAGGAAATGTTGAAAGTGTCCACCTTCAGCTCGATTACAACCCCGAATTCGTTTTTTGATCGTCTTTCTAACTCATCGAAGTATCCCTATGTCTCGGCGAATTAAAGCGAATTCGTCTGATATACGCTGCCAAATATCTTACCTTGCAGTGGCAAGAGTTTTATAAACAAGCTCTTTCACATGTCCCCAGAGGTGGAAATCTATGGGTGTTATATCAGGGCAACGAGGCGGCCACGCAATTGGACCACCTCTTCCAATCCAGCGGTTTCCAAAAATTTCGTTCAGATGTTGTCGAACTGAAGCCGCGAAATGCGCCAGTGCTTCGTCATGTTGGAAACATCAACGATTATTTCTCATGTTTAGAGCAAGCAAATCTCGAAGGGTCATTTTGAAGGAAGCCGATATAAGAAGCATGATTCAAGGGATTTTGAAGTTCTATGGGGCCAATGATTGGATTGCCAACGATCCCTGCCCATATGTTTACGGAGAATTGGTACTGCGAATTGACTGAAATAATCAAATTGGGATTTTCGTCACACCAAGAATGAGAGTTGTGAAAATTTGTAGGTAATACCCTTTCTATTGGAACAAGCTTCGTCAGTAAATAGCACTCTAGTCAGATAATCTGGATCACGCATATTTTTTTTGTTGAAACCACTGATAAAATTGTAGTCGGGGTGCGTAGTCTCAAAGTAATAATTCTTGAACTCAAGGAAAATAAAATGGGTAAATTTGGTGCTCATGGAGTGTCCTTAAAACAGATCTCGTTACCGATGGTTCTTGTACCAGCCGTCGGTTCGTTTTCAACCCTATTCAAAATAAATTCCCCGACTTCCGGACGTCGTCTATATCTTTGTCTGCCGGTATGGGCATTGCTTAATTTCAAACTTCCCCGATCACTTAATCACCTAACAATATTTTCAAAAAATGTTTGGTCAGGAACTCTTCTTAAAGGAAACTTATCAAAATACAATATTCTCGCAGCATTCAAATTTTGTCTAGCTTCCCCATAACAAAGCAGCATAAAGTTCAATACTTGACGTTCGGCATTATTACATGCACATTTAAATCGTGAATCTACAATAATTAATCAATACTAATTTACAAATTATGATTAAGAGACATTAGTTGAGACGACTGTACTGTATACCTTTGACGTTTCTGTCTTCTATGTCGCCGCTATGTTGATTATTAAAATTTTAATTTCCGAGCACATTTAGGTAAATTAGAAATCTCATCGGAGAACCAATTTTTTCTTTGATTAAATCCAAGGGCTTGCAAGTAAGTCCGGTCCTGTAATTCACGTTCAACATAGTACCTAGGAATGTGTATTCATTAACGTAAGGTTAGTTCTCCAAATTTCATTTAATTCTCTCAAATCGAAATCTAGATTTTTGGAAAAATCATTTTATTTCAAAACTCTGACACCCTGTAGCTAAGGAACGAAGCGAAATCGGATCCATGTTGATATGAAAAAATAATCTTGTATTTAGGTTAGGAATCTGCCCCCGAGCGTTGGCCCATGTTTTCTGAAACACCCTGTATTTCTAAGATAATATCAAGAATAAAAAGCTCGAGTGTAATTGTGAACTCATGGTTAACAGTATGTCGTAATAAGTTCTCTCCAACTTGGAGTTCTTCCTTGTTCTCCTTCTCCGAATATACATTTCGTTTTGAGTACAAAGTGCTTCGCTAATTGTTACTGCTACTGAATACTGGCACAAAGCACTGCTTGGTTCTTACTGGCAGAGAGTGACCTACTAATATATAGGCACTATTATAGCACTACTAGCGTCGCACTAGTCGAGTTATCGTTTTTAACCAATGACATTGCGGGAAACAACTACTCTTCGGACTACAGTCCCGTACAGTATTGATGGTTTATGGTTTACTGGATATCGCTTCAATGCTAGAGGGGTTTTATTCTGCAAAGTAATACCACACAATATGAGAACAGCTCTTGGTCTATATGTATTTCTAAGATACAACTTTTTGCTATATTGTTAATTGACTGTAACTAAAAAGAAAAACCCAGGCGTGCCTGGTTCCGAATTTGTGCTATCAGAATGTCGAATAGTTTCAGTTCTTAGCAGATGTTGTACGTTTTCCTTCACTACGTCCATTTCGCCTTCAATTGTCGTAAGAGAATATTACTCTATGTGGTACTAATACTCCAAACAGTTGTTAATAGCTTTTATTCTATAATGAATATACTTCTAAGATACAACTCCTTGGCTGTATTGTTTATTTACTGTAAACAAAATTAAATACACAGCCGCAACTGTCTTTAAGTTTCAGTTCATGGGCTATGCTCCCTTTCATTGTCTACATTTCACCTTCAATTGTCGTAAGGGTGCTACAGTTGTGGATTCAAATCAAAGCTAGTTCTTGTAGTTTTACGATTTTGAATATTAAAAATTGTATGTACTTACTCGCCTATGATATGTAATAGACATCCCTCATTGTAATCGTAACGATTGGCCCAGAAGACGAAGGTTTGTGAGCGGAGGGGGCGGCGTGTTATTATTCGATAGGAAGATGAAATATGAGATTGAGTGAGCAACAATAGATTGACTTGAGGGCGTTGCATTCATGAACGAAACGTCGTGTTGCAGTTACAAATAGGTATTAGCTAAAACAGCTATAGGTACCTACTTCTTCTAGACTCCAAAGTAATTATTTTCAAAACGAAACTACGAGTACCAATGCTTTAACACTTATTTCGGTATGGTTCTGTTATAGATTAGTTAAAGTTTTTATACATTTACATTAAGGAGGTATATCTGGTTTACTAAAATGCACAGATGTACTTGAAATGTATATAGCGTATTACCCAGTGCTCCCTCTGTGCGTCATATTTTTTTTGAAATTTTTTTTGAATCTAGATTTTGAGATATTGTTGTTGACAGTTGTTTATTTTAACATATGTTTATATGGCGAAGATGGACGGTGCGTCTCTTTTTTTGCCCATAACTGAGGAAAAAATGTAGAAATTGTGAAACAAAACTTTTCCATAGATAGTACACAGTATTATCTTATTTTTGATGAAAAACTAATGTAAGTTTTAAACATAGTACAGCTGTATTAATTAGAAACAGAAACCAATAATTGCATTTCTGTCTGACTTGAGGATTAATGTGGCAACGTCGCAATCAGCTGACAGTAAGGAGGGAATACATTTGAAAGACTTGATAAAAACGAAATTGATTTCAAACATACCTATACGTTTTTCCTAAATCTCATGTACATT